TCTGACCCGTTATATAAGATCTCACTGCCATTTGGGGGAATCTTCATTGAGGTCAAATGTAACTAAAATGATGCTGTGTGTAAGAGGCTGTACAAGAGTTAGAACTTTGTCTTTAGAAAGCTCCTCCATCCACTCAAGCAGTTGTTCTAACTTTTGTACTGAACTTTGTAACACTCCAGAGTTCTTCAAGAACAAGACATTATCTTTGGGCCTGTCATATCTTTGAGTCTCCAGCGGATATTTCTTGGCACCAGACTTTTTGCATTAAGATCTAATCCTCGTCCTCTAGGGAAGGAGATCCCCTGAAGACTCCAGCAGTGTCTTGGTCTGAGTTCTTTCAGAGTGGTTTCCAGAAGTGTGCAGCTTTGGTCAAAGGTCAGAAGACTGATAGGTAATATGGTCAGATAATTAATTCATCTTCAAGTTGGAGGGGGGGTCTGTCACATTGGAATACCAAATCCAGCCATCTTCCATCTCCTTAAAAAAATTGCTTTTTGCCTTTATTCATTATAGGTGCCCTATATATAAAGCAGACACAAAGACACTTAACGAACTTACTGACTTTGTCAATTCACATGAAGAAAAGGGGGGAGGTTTATAGTTTTCCTCCAAGTTGTGTTTAATTAGTGTACTGATTTTTCAGGTCAGCAGTTACTGAACGCCTGTGTGTTCGGCCCTGTGCTTGGCCTGGAAAATACCAAGATGAGTAAATAAATCCATGCCTCCCTGGAGCTCACAGTCCAGTCAGAGGCAGACAGATAAACAGATCTCTCAGAGCACGGTCAGACTGCAGTAACTGGGAGTGAGGAAGGGACCGGAGGAGGACAGAGCGTCTCCTGAGAGAAAGCAGGCAGAAGAGTGACATCGCAGACTTCCACAGTGTCGCCAGAAGATCTTTCTAGAATTTATAAATCCAGTCATGTTCCTTCCATGTTCAGATGCCTCAACAGCTTCTCAGTGACTGCCCCGAAGGCCACCTTTCAGCCACTCCACTGGCCCTCCCCCCACCACCGACTGCCCACTCCCTTCACAACTTGACCGCTTAAGTTCGAATCTTGTCCCGTCACTTACGAACTGTGATCCTTGGCAAGTTGCTAACCTCTCTGTAGCTATTTCTTTAAACTCAGTAAACACAATCATCTGTGTCTCAGTGTTACTGTAAGGATTAAATGATTTGATATAAAACTCATAGAATAGTGCCTAGCACGTAGTAAGTATCACCGAAGGGATGGTTACTACTGTTCTGTACAAGTGATGGCTTACTGCCATCATTGTTGTTTCCTCTTTCCCAGACCGGTATGATTTCCTTCCCTGGCATTGCACAAAGCACCGTTGCATAGATCTGTTCCCGAGTTAGACACCAGGCCCCTCTGTTGGGGCCCTAGCTGAACCAAAGCTCCCCCCAACCCCCAATTGCTCAAGGAGTTCTTTCCCACTCAGGTGTGTGCTGCTAATAACGAATCTGAGTTTGGTGCAGGCAAGTCAGGCTTTTACTCAATGACCAGAGAATGGAGAAGGGGTGTTCATGCTCCCAAGGTACGTTCTCCCCGAAGGGAGGGGAGTAAGGGAATTTTAAGGGTCAGGAGGCAGACAGGACATCAGGGCTCTAGGAAGGGGTGGAGACTTCTGGGGCAGCAGGGGCATACACGTCCTCCCTGCCCCTTTGTACATGGCACCAGTTGTGCCTAGCAGAGTACAAATCCCCCTCTTCCCCCAGGTAGAGATGAAGCATGGTGATGAAGCAAAGGTAACTCTTGGACATCTCCAGCTTTCATCTGCACATTCGAGATCCTGTGGTCAAGTCAGGGCCAGTTCAGAGCGGTTGACCACTGTGTGTCTCTCAAAGCACATATCTCTCTCAGTAAAACTTCAAAGCATCTGCCCAACACCAGGTACTTTTGAAACATGGAGATGATTCAGGGCCAGTGTCCAGCTCTTAAGGGTTGGTATGGAAACACAGAGATAAATCAAGGCATGGAAAGTGGTGACATTTATCCTACTTTATCTGCCATCTTGGAGCTGGCTGGTTCAGTCTAGTTTTGCTGCAGGACTTTGTGGCATCATGTTGATGAGCCACAACTAGCCTGTATAGTTAAAAAACAGTTCCTGCACCTTTGCATGGGTGACACATTGGCACTACCTACGTTAATTCTTAGGTTGCTTCTCACCATCTCATATCTTTATCATCAACAAATTCTAGAGTTGTTGTCCTGAGTAGATTATCAACTCAGATTAGAGATTTCATCACAAATTCTTTTTTGCTTTAATTTTGTACTCCACAGAATTGAAATCCCATGCATATTGCAGGCACTCAGACATTGTTTGTTGATTAAAGGGGAAATCCAGCTCTCTCTTCATCATGTCTTTTTATAACCATTCTCTCCTTTTCTTCTCTCCACTATACAGTTAGCATGTTAACACTTCTTTTACGTATTTCGACTGCAGCTCTCGTCCAGTTCTATTGTAATCATTCATTTTAATGTCCACATGATTTGTTTCTCTGGCAGGATAGGAATTGCTTTCATTTGCATCTCTGGCCTTTAGCAAAAGGGTTTCACACAATAGCCACTTATTTAGATGAGTACTTGATAAGGAGAATAATATGCATTATGTTAGTGAAGTGAAGTCGCTCAGTCATGTCCGACTCTTTGCGACCCCACGGACTGTAGCCTACCAGGCTCCTCTGTCCATGGGATTTTCCAGGCAAGAGTACTGGAGTGGGTTGCCATTTCCTTTTGAGGGAATCTGTGAGAACAAAAACAGATTGAGTGATTTCTTTGTACCTATTTTGTTTCAATAAATATCCAAGAAATAATTCAGATCCTCTAAACAAGCAGGAAACTCCAAGTAAATATTCTTCTAACATAGAGGCAAAACATGCCAACAACTTTTCTTATATGCCTCCAAGCTTCATGATTTTTAAGGTAAAATGTAGATACAGCATTGTTCAAACTGTTCTAGACAGGTTTATTACAAAGAAATAAACTTTAATTTTCATGGTTTAAGTTGTTGTTATTGTTTAGTTGCCAAGCTATGTCTGGCTCTTTTGCAACCCCATGAGCTATAGCCCTCCAGGCTCTTCTGTCCATGGGATTTTATTCCAGAATGCTAAATACAGATTAGTTTGACTATTTTTTCATTTCCCTGTATATTTACAGTTGACAATAAGAGAGTTTTTGTTGTTTTTGATAGATGCTTTAGAATCACCCTTCTATAAGTTTGTGTCGCTTTATACCATCAAGGCTTAAGAAAACTTATTAGTATTGTCTTTTGATACCTTGTTCTGCTTGCTGTTCTTTACTTGTTTGTTCAGCCTCTTCTGATGGCTATTTATTTTAATGGACATATATACATTTAGGTTTTTGATTTCCCAAAAAGAAAACTGACCTAGACCCTGTTGCCTTTTAGGCCTGCTATTCTTTTACTCTTCCTTCCTTTCCCCTCATTTTCCTTTGAGATGAGTCAGATTTGCTTCCTTAGTTTTCTTGCCACTCCGTTTCTCTTTAGTTCTGCAGGCCCTTGAGAGTAGGCATCCTGAGGACAGAGGTCATGGTACTTTTTACCAAGTACCCAGTACTTAGTCTGCAGACCAGCATATGGTCAAGATGCAGTATATATTATTTGAGGGAATGAGTTCAGAAAACTTAAAAGCCTTTACCCACCATCCAACCTGCGCCATTCACCCATTCCTCCTGGCTCTGTTCTCTCTTCATTTTGGTTTTCAGGAAATGCCACACCACCTTCCTATACTACATCTCTTCCCCTTGTCAAATTCTTGTTCCTGCAAAAGGAGGCTACTCATTACTCATCTGCTGCCTCCCATATCCCTTCCATCCTGAAGGCCTTGCCTTATGCTGGGTTTCCTCTGCTTGTCCTCTCTTCCCTTCCATCAGCTCTGCCTGGCAGTAACTCACCATCGTGTCTCCCTTTCAGAGCCCAGCTGAGAGGCTTCTTTGGTGAAACCTTTTCTGATCTCCTTCTCACTAAACACCTTAGCCTTTCTTTTTTAAACACTAGAATTCTGTAACCAAATATGCGCCGTTTGTGACTTTGCTTTTTCCCAAAAAGCAAAGCTCCCAGGTGTATCTCTTACACTCTGTTTTGGTGCATGATGTAATCTTTAGATGTAGTTGGTGCTCAGTGCAGATTTTGCTGGATTGTCCAGAAATGTGACATTCCAGAGAACTGCCGCGGGAGCTCCATTCCACTGAGAAATATTGAAGACAATTTTGTAGATTTTTCTGATCCTTTTTTTTTTTCTAACTCACAAGCTTCTGTCATTGTTCTTGGGAGTTATATGGTGTAACCATTTATATTAAAATGTCAAAGTCCAGAGTATTGGAGAATGAGAAGGTGGCAAAATAATAGAACTGGAAAGATTTTTAGGGATCCAGGGAGTCCAGCCCTTTAATTTTATAAGAGAATAAATTGGCGTCTGGAATGTTAAAGTGACCTGCCTCAAATCTATACATAGTTAGTTTATGGTAACATTTGGGTCTTGGTTGTAATCTTTCAACCCTGTCTGTTGCTCATTCCCACAAGCTGTCACAGGGCACATGAGGATACTGTTTAGGTTTGTGTAACAAAACTGTTAAAAGAGGCCTCTGATATTATCATATTACCTTTTATGGACTAAAAAGTAGAAAATTGAGTCTCTTATTAGGTTTCCCTTTCCTCTTCTTTAATTATAAGTTTTTGGACTGGATTCACTTGCATCAACTGGGAAATTTCTGACTACATTAACCTAGGAGGGCATTGATTTGTTTGCTAATCTTTCAGTAAGATCTTCAGTCCTTTGGTTGAAGTCGAACATACATACAGAAAAGTACATGAAACGTAAATGTGCAGTTTCAGGTTTTACAAAGTGTACACATTGTGTGACCAGCACCCATATCAGGAAACAGAGCAGCACCGACATGTTTGGAAGCATTCAAAGAAATAAAAATTTGAAGAAATAAAAGGGCTTTGAAACGACATCATTTTCTTTTTTCTCCTGACAGGTATTGTCAGTCTGTGTGTTAACAACAATCCTTGGTTGTATATTTGGGTTGAAACCAAGCTGTGCCAAAGAAAGTAAGTAGTATACTCATTCACGTGTGCATGGGTGTGTGTATGTGCCCCACGTGGGTGGGGGTAATAGCCTTCTTGAGAATGTGATTGAGACAGTAGTTATGTCCTCATTCCTTGAGTACTTCATGCATATGTGTGCATACTCAGTTGTGTCCAACTCTTTGGCAATCCCATGGACTGCAGCCCACCAGGCTCTTCTGTCCATGCGATTTTCCTGGCAAGAATACTAGAGTGGGTTGCCATTTCTACCTCTAGAGGTGAGTACTCTATAGATATTGCACATTTGATGCTAGTTTGAGCATTCTTCTTGAAGATCTTTTATTATTTTAGCTGTATACTATCTACTTGCAAAACTTCATCCCAAAACAACAAAGAGGGGTTATGACCACCACCACCCCCCCCAAAAAAAACAGTGAAAGACCTCAAAACAACAAAAAAGAACAAAGATACAAACAAGCAGACATGGATGACAGGTTCTCACGCAGGGCTCTGTGAGCCTCTCTCCCTGACTTCCTCCGGGGACTCCCACTTTTATTCTCGGAGGCGTTAGGTGCTGGAGCAGCCCAGAGGTTACTAGGTATACAGCATGCCTGGGCAGCTGGAAGCATCCTTACATGCTTGTAAGTCTTTTAGAAGTGCAGTCATTTCAGAACAGTAGTGATATTTTTAAGCTGTTACTTACATCTTTCTTTTTATGAAGTTTGGTAATCATGCCAACATGGAAAGATCACTATAAATAATAAAACTGAGTTACAGTACATTGTAGCAGTCATTATTTTGGATTTGAAGTAGTTTTTTATTTTTACTCCTTTTAAATCATTGATGAATTCCTAAGGAATTCAGTTTTGAAAACTGAACAAATCCTTCTATTCAACTATTCCATAATTGTACTATTAGTCATTTTTTTAAAAAAAATAGTGATTGTTAAGGTGTCATTTATTTTTAAAATGAATGAAATGTAGTAATTTTACATATTTAGACAGCAACAATTCAGAGCAAACATATCAACGTTTAGTAAAATTAAGAAGCTACATATTTTAGTGTTCACCTATGTAGCCTTTAAGCACTAAGTAATTCACCTTGAGTTTAGTTTAGCACATAAAAATAGAACTGGGTGATTGAAAACACAAATTTTAATCTAAACTCAAGGTGAAATACATATTATTTTTTAAGTTAATGGAAGCATACTGATGATCTGCAAGTAATAGCTATTATTATGATAGTTTTCCCCCTTGGATCAGGAAAGTTAGTATTTTTGACCCTAGAAATTATTATTGTCATTTCATGTCCTTAAAATTGCCTCATTTCCTGGTATCAAATGAGAGTTAAATTCTGTGACAGTGTCTTCTTGGGTCAGAGGACCATGACAACCATGAGCAAGGATTATTCCTCTTTTTTTTTTCTTTTGGACTCCCATTATTCTACAAGTGGGTTGTTTTTCTTACCACCCTGATTTATTTTTCATTAAATCTAGATCATTGCTGATAACTAGTAAAGAGTCACAGTGTGAATTTTTCAGATTAGTTGTTTTTGGAGTGCAGTTGCTTTGCAGGGCTGCGTTAGTTTCCCCTGTAAAACAAAGTGAGTCAGCTCGACACACTCCCCTCTTTCTTGGATTTCCTTTCCACTGAGTCACCACCAAGCACTCAGTAGCGTTCCCTGAGCTGTGCAGTAGGTTCTCATTAGTTATCTCTTTTATTCGTAGTTCAATAGTGTATATATGTCAGTCCCAATCTCCCAATTCACCTCACCCCTCCTCCCGTCTTGGTGTCCATCCGTTTGTTCTTGTCTTGTAAAGTTGTTTTTAATGCAAAGTGTTTTCCTTCCACGCCTGGCATTTGTCCATTTAACAAAAACTCACCAGTACCAACTGTAGTCACGGCTTTTGCTGGATTCCCAGGGTACAGTGTGCTGGGCAGCGTCCAGATGTGGTCTTTGCTCCTAAGAAATTTGTGGTCCAGGTTGAGACTGGGTTAGTAACCAAACGATCTAGGTACGAATGAAACTCAGTGACTGAAAGGGAGGATAAGGTTTCATATAAACTTTAAAAATTGGAAAAAGCATCTGGACAGGGGAGTTTGGGAAAGCTTCTCAGAGGGAGCCAGGCTGGATCTGAAGGTGCAGTGGACACATCAGGTGTGGTGGGAGATGAGCCCAGGAAAACGTGTTCTGCACAAACGCATTACTTCTTTACACCAGACTGAGGGTGTCGTAAGTCAGGTAGTCTTTGTCTTCATGAAGTTTTCAGAGATTATCAGTTTTTAGAGAACCGTACATAAAATATTCAGAACAAGCTCTTCTTATTTTTCCCTTATTTAATATTCTACATGTATTTAAGTTTCATTAGCTCCTTAGTTATACTATATAAAAGAAAAAAATTATCTTTTGTTTCTGTGGCAAGAGATAAAATTGCAGACTTGATACATAAGGTTACTGCCTCCTGTCTGTGTCACTTTCTATAGGTATTTGTGAAAAGATTCTTGGTTAGCTTTTTGCCCATCCCATCTGTGTCTTCTAAAAGAGTATTTAAATCAATTCAATACCGAACTTAGGGTACATTAGTTGCTGTTTGCTTTGTATTTATGTAATGATTAGAAACATCTAACTCATTCGATATTTTCAGTTAAGAGTTGCAAGGGTCGCTGTTTTGAGAGAACATTTGGAAACTGCCGCTGTGACGTTGCTTGTGTTGACCTTGGAAACTGCTGTCTAGATTACCAGGAGACATGTATAGAACCAGGTAAGAATGTGCAGGGGAAAAGATGGGGTAAAAGAGCAAAGGAAAGTTCTGCATCTTTTAGGTATGTGATTTACCTAACCCATTTGAGATTTTAAAAAATTTGTCCTTTATATTTCCCGACACAAACAAAACTTGCATATCTTGCCTTTGTTAAAAATTTTATGGATGGCAGCACTGTGCTGATTTTCGGTGTTTGCTGACAGACTATATAGTCTAATTTACATTTTACCTAAGTTCAAAAAGGCTGATTAAAAATATATGACTCTTTCTGTTATGGGCTTATTAAAGCGAGAGTTCTTAAGACATCCACCTAAACTTTAAAATAAAGCTATCAGACTGTGAAAAGTTTGATTTGATCTTCTTTACCAATGAAAGTGGAAGTATTCATCACTCAGTCATGTCCAATTGTTTGCGACCCCATGGACTTTAACCTGCCAGGCTTCTCAGTCCATGGAATTTTCCAGGCAAGAATACTGGAGTGGTTGCCATTCCCTTCTCCAGGGGATCTTCCTGACCCAGGGATCAAACCCAGGTTTCCTGCATTGCAGGCAGATTCTTTACCATCTGAACCACCAGGGAAGCCCATAGAATAATAACATTTAAATGATAGTGAGCTAGATTTGGAGAAATTTGGAGAACTCTGGCAATGACTGGTGGTGGAATAAGCCAAGATTGACATGGGAGTTGTATAAAAAAAGTTACGTCTGTTTACATTTTATTTTCTTAATTAATTTTTATTGGAGTATAGTTGCTTAACAATGTTTTGTTAGTTCCTACCTTACAGCAGAATGATCAGCCATACGTATATTAATGCGTATATTCCCTCTCTTTTGGACTTGCTTCTCATTCAACGTTTACATTTTAAAATGATGAGATTCTGGCTTTTAGTGAAATGATAATTGTTGCCTGCGTATTTTCTGTTGGTTCAGATTGATCACTGTGGTGAAAAGTTCTATGAGTCACTGAGGGTGAAGAAATGGTCCATCATCTCTCATAGATCACGTTCTAGAAGACAGTTCTGTGTTCATTTTGGACATGTTGAATTTGGACCATAAGATGTGTTATGTTGACATTTATCTCTAGAGCGGATATGGACTTGCAGCAAATTCAGGTGTGGTGAGAAAAGGTTGTCCCGAAGCCTCTGCTCCTGTTCAGACGACTGCAAGGACAAGGGAGACTGTTGCGTCAACCACGGATCCGTGTGCCGAGGTCAGCAGGTTGTACCTCACCAGGCTCAGACACAGGCTGACGTCTTCCTAGGTCTCAGAGGGGGTTGGCATGGGTGTGTTTTTTACAGCCAAAGTCATAGTTATTGACAAACCATATTGGCTGAAAAAATATCTTAAAAGCATTTGTTTTAAAGAAAGTTTCAAGCATATATACCTGAATAGAGAGAATATGTAATAAAGTTTGCATCACCCAGCCTAATAATCATGATTGTCTACACACGGCTAATCTTTCTTATCTATAGTCATACACTCTGCTGCTGCTCCACCCTCAGGTTATTTTGATATTAGCTGCATATTTAATGCTGTATTTGTGGAACAATCACTTCACAGTCTTGGCTGACGATGTAACAGATTCTTTCATCGTAAACGAGGACAGTGTCTGCCTGATGTTGAGAGAAGTTAGTGTCTAAGACTCTGTGTAAGCTGGTGTTACGTTGATGTCTTGCCTAGGTGTTGCAGGGTTCCTTGAAATTCTTTGACAGAACTTGACTCTGTATGAGAGGAACTAAGGCAGAAGATTCTGTTGGGTGGATAGAAGTAGGGTTGTAAATTTTGGCTGAAAATATTATTAATGACAATTTGAAAATGGAAAAGGTGCCTTCAAGTTCTCACAAATACAGCAATATGTTTTAGTCTTGCAATTATAAATTCATTCTTTAATTCCTGATATCAACTAACTCTTACTTTGAAATAGAATAACTCTCTATTTGTTCTATTCCCTGAGAATCACACCCCACATGATCTATGTATCTCTTAATTTTTCTTTTTTTTGGAATGTGTCCTAATGTGTCTCACAAACATCACGACTATTGTTTCTGTTGAATGTGTTCAATTCACTGTACTTCTTGAAAATATTTTAGGGGAGAAAAGCTGGGCAGAAGAAGAATGTGACAGCATTGATGAGCCACAGTGTCCAGCAGGGTAAGATTATACTCTGAGATACTAATGTTTTCTTTTATAGAAGTACCACTCTTTCTCTTTCCAAATTGAAAAAATAAAAATAATAATAATTATTCATTGGTTCAATGAATATTATTTTTAGTTAGACCTTCTTTTGGCATTGGTGGTATAGAAGTGATTATGGCATGACCCTCTCCCCCAGCCCCCCAACCCTCATCCCCCACTTCCCACTTCTGGTCTGGAAACTGGAAAAAAAAAGAGAGGTTATGAATATTTAATGTTCATGAGTGCTGGGTGGAAGAATTTGTGTCTTCCTTCTTAGGAAAAAAGGATCTTTACTTTCATTTGAAGTTTTTCAAGTTGAGTTTATAACAAATTACAACTTTTAAAAAAATTTTTTTGATTCACTTGTATGTTTTCAGGATAACATGTCTATGAGAAGATGTTACATAATTTTTATAATTTGTATTTTCCATTTTTTGTCTAAAGTATTTTATACAATACCTTATGTTTATAAGGTCATCAGGAAAGGTTTGTGTAGAATTTGAAAAGTGGAAATTTGGTAACAGTGTTAGATATGTTTATCTTTGTTCCACTTGAGATCTATATAATTTGAATTATTAATCTTCAGAAATATATTATGTTTAAAATAATGATTTTTCCAAACTGTTAAACATTATAAAGCTGCACTAGTAGAAACAAGAGCACAATTTAGAATATGCTGTTTGTTAATATTTATTCTCTTGCAAATTGGATAAATATTATTGCATTTTGGTTGTGTTTCATCTGTCTTTTAGAATAGCAGGGACCATAAATGATGGTCTCTGTATGGTGCCTCAAAATGGGATGAGTGCTCAATCAATAATATTTGATAATGTACATGATGAAATACAAAATCATATATATGAATATAGACACTTCTAAAATATTCTTTATAAAGATGCTTGTTGAGCTTGTTAGTTTACCTTAGATTACATCCCGATCTCAGTAGAAAATGTTCACTGGATCTGTGTCTTCTTTCTTCTTTACACATTTTTTTTCTTTCTTTCTCATTACCCAGGTTTGAAACACCTCCTACCCTCTTATTTTCTTTGGATGGTTTCAGGGCAGAATATTTACACACTTGGGGCGGACTTCTTCCTGTTATTAGCAAGCTGAGTGAGTAACAGAGTATACTATTGGAGTGCCACAGTGTCAGTAGACTGAGGAGGCAGTCTCTTTTTGGAAAAATACGGCAGAATCTGTGTTACTAAACTTCTCTGTTGTAAAAGAGTTAAACCCTAGTGATAAGGACCTAGTCTTTAATATTATAATTGTTCTAAAACTGCCTTTTAAACAACTCTAAGATAATAATGATTATCTCGGAGTTTTTATTCCTTGGTTACGGATGTTAAGGATGAGACATACTTTTTTTTTTCCTTAGATTTCTGGATTCATTTTGTGGACAAACTATTTATATATTTATTTATCTAATATGACTACATCTTAAAGTAGAATTTCAAAAACTGAAGGTATTTCTTGTATGAATCTAGTAGTGCAGACATAGAATATTTACTTGTTATTTATCCTTTAGTATCATGAGGCATCCTTCTAATTTCTTAATTAAAAGCTAGTAATGCAGTAGTAGAATAGTCTTTTCTTAGTACGAATGCAAAAGTTTTAAATCACATTAACCACCAGTAATATGGGTATCGCTCATTATCATCGTTATTGAAAAAATAAAAAATTAAATATGGGTATAAAAGCTGAAGAACATTACTTGTTATCAGTGATCAGTATTTAAATAGCCACAGTGTAATACTGGACTGAAATGGAAATAAGTAAATTCACTATTTTGGTGTTCTTCTGGAGTTCTGAGACATTATTTACTGGACTTGAATATTTAAATATCACAATCACTCTCCATAATCACATAGGTACATTTATTGTACTTCTTTTGTAAGAAACTATTTGGAGAACTAAAAATTTCAGTTTTTAATTTCTACTGGGAAGAAAGTAGTTTTTATAAATAATCATTTGATATAAAAGTCTTTAGGAAAGAGCTTACATGGACAAGAAAGACTCTATTTTATCAGCCAGGCTCACGAGCTTTGAGGCTTGCATCTGGCCTTTTGTTATCATCGGGAGGAAAGTTTGTTTCCATAGCATCAAATACAATATCCTGAGTTCACAAGTGAGGAGCCATAGGTACCTATATGTGAAGTTGGAAGGAACTCAATACATAGTTAACTAAAGTCCTTGCTTTGGGTAATTAGGAAGTGTAGCCTATAATTCTGAACTGTTTGGAATGTAAGGAGATAGATGTACATGTACCAGCCTGAGGAACATTTTGAGGAATGAGGTATTGAAATGCTAGAATCATTAGTGATGTGTTCCCTGCTCAGTGGTAGAGGCAGAAGAGGAATGTGACTCTAGGGCTAAATCAGGAACAGTTTGACTTCTGTCCTTTTCGTATTAATACTTGAAGCCAGAAGATGCCTTTTATCGTTAAAGCAGTGTTTAATTTGTCTAGAGTTAACTGGTTTGGACTTTGGGGTGGGACACTGTCCTCCTAGCTACTGCTTCATTCTTGTTTTCATTTTGCTGAGTTAGCAACTAGGGAAGTTTGTAGTTTTGTTTTCGCTGTTTGTTTTTTTAAAACTACATCTTGTATTTAGATATGTTACCACCAAGTAATAGCAAAGATCTAACAAGCATCATTATGGTCCATCTGGAACTTAATGTTATTAGTAAGTATGGGATAAATATTTCATTGGCTTAATTATTTTAATTTTTTTTTTAACTAAGAGGAAAAACTAGCTCTCAACATTGAGTTTGAATCCACAATGTTGCTTCGTAATTCACCCTGAATTTTTAAATGGTTGTAAATCCCTTCTGGATTCATGTTTTAGTACTACTCAGAAGTCTGTGGTACCAACGCTAAATGAAGGAAACAGATTGTCAGTTGTATTTAATAACAATCTTTTTTTCCCCTTGTAGAAACCTGTGGGACATATACTAAAAACATGAGACCAGTATATCCAACAAAAACTTTCCCCAATCACTACAGCATTGTCACAGTAAGCTCTGGATTTCAATTTTTTTATGTTCACAAAAGTGAGATGTAAATATAACATTTTTCAAGAGAATAGTCAGATTTCCGATCAGAAAAAAAAAACTTCTTTTTCATTGTGTAGTTAAGCAGGGAAACTGAGGTTCTGGTCCTTGCTCTTCTACTAACCTGTTGTGACCTTGGGAAAGTCACTTTACTTTCTGGGTCTCCATTTCCCATCTGTGAAAAGAGGTGATTGAAGACCCCAAGAAATGATTTCTTAATTCCCTTTCAGTTTAAGATTCTTAGGTTCTGTTCTTTCTGATTAGTTTTTAGCTTACTTTATTTGAGCCCCAGATTGTCTGCACTCACAGGTCCTCAGCCGTCTTTCCAATCATTTCAATGTGTGAGTCTAAGCAAACCACTTTGCCTGACTCTAGATGTGATTACAGCTCTCTTTTTGTTTCACTTTCAGATTTAATTTGGATCCAGGAAAAAAAAAATGTAGAATTCATTAGGCCTCAGGGTTGAAGCCAGAGAATTAATACTTTGACTTATATTGGGACAAGCTATTCTTGGACCCCAATCAAAAAGGATTTTGTTATGGAGAAATTTTTCACTGAGCAATCCAAAAGGACATCTCAGTAATTTTTTCCAAATTAAGAGGCTGCTACCATTCCTAATTTATTTTCTCCTATTACATAAATTAAAGCACAAGTACTACATAAAACCTTAAGCGGTTGGTTGTATTTTGATAATATGCAGTGTTTTGTTCTTCTCTCCTAATTAAGCTAGGTTAAGTTCCTTGTAGCTTCAGTTGTGTATTTCTCTCTGATGATTTTGTTCTGTAACCTTAACATTAAAAACTCATAATGTGCATAAAACTTGTATTTTATGTTTTTTAGGGACTTTATCCAGAATCCCATGGCATCATTGACAATAAAATGTATGATCCCCAAATGAATGCTCACTTTGCACTTAAAAGCAAAGAGAAATTTAACCCTGAGTGGTACAAAGGAGAACCAGTGAGTTGTTTATTTAATTTAGCTATTAAAATTATTTTTTATTATTCTCATCTGTTTTTAGCAGAGTAAAATAACAGATCCCCTGGAGTTTTTAAGAACCTACTTAATCTACTGTGTTTGTGCAATCCTTATGCAAATAGAGATAAATGCAGATAACTCTAAATATAACTTATATCTTTGTATATTTTATTTCAGAGTAGGGTTCAGGTTATTTTGAGCCAGGTTTCTTTTCTGCTTAATGCTACCTTTTTGTTCTAGTAGCAAGAGCAGTAATCTGGGGGTAATATTTTGATTTACACAAAGCTAATTGTTTCTGCAGGAGTAAACTATGCCTTTGTTTGCGTTTGCTGACTTAGAAGATTCTCTCTGATTGTGATTTAGATGTGTTCTCCTTTTTAATTTTTAAAAATTGCCACAACAATTCTATAAGGTCTATTTGAATAGTCTTGATATCCCTCTTAGATGGAAAAGAGCATGATGTTAATTTGCAAGTTATAATTTCAGATTTTTAGCTCTGACATTTAAAACTGTGATTATGGGGCAAATTATTCTTTCTGTGCCCCAGTTTACTGTACAGTAAATAATTCTGTTAACTACCTCATAGAGTTATTGTGATGATTATTTAAATGAATCATCTAAGTTGCTTATAGGAGTACCATTTAGAACTGTAACTGGCAATAGTAAGTGCTCAATAAATGTTAAGTTACATAAGCAAAATATGTCAATAAGTTAAAGATATATATATTTGTGAATTTTTCTTTTTTTCATGATTTTTTTTTTCTTTTCACAGAAGCCTATTAAGTAGAAGCAAGTCTATAAAAGTTGCAGGAGTTACCAATTGTTTATATTCTTTAAGTTAATTTACTTTCTGATTATTTAATTTCTTTTTGCTGCTGTGCAAAGTCTCATTACATGGTTGTTTTGTAGTCTAACTGCTGGAGTTTATTGACATCAAAACTTTCTAGCATTTGAGAGGAGAGCGTTGGCAGTTGCATGAACACAGTTTCCTAAGAAATCGGTGCTTCCATAATTTCCTAATTTTCCTTCCCTGTCTTCTCCAGATTTGGCTCACAGCTAAACATCAAGGCCTGAAGACAGGCACATTTTTTTGGCCAGGATCAGATGTGAAAATTAATGGAATTTTCCCAGACATCTATAAAATCTATAATGGGTATGTATAACTGTACTTTTTCTAGGACCTATAACATAGAACAGTTTATTTTCTTATCACAGCCTGAGTTCTAGCATTTGAATGATATGTTATCTGAAAAATGAGACCTATCAAAATAAGAACTCTATTTCAAAGAGTTTTAAATGGATGGATGATAGATAGATAGTAAAACTAGATGAGGTGGTTTTTTTTTTTGGAGGTTTTCTAGAAAGCACTGGTGGTAACATGTTGGAGTTTGTGTTCAGATCTTTGGATAGGATTAAGAATTGAAGTCCTGGTGAAAGTGTAGGGGTCCTGAACATTTTCACTCCAGGAAGAAAGAACTAGAAGAAGGAGCTGAAAGTATTAAAGGGACACAGGTAGGAGTGACCCTGTGGTGTCCAAAAATACTATTTGAAAGAAGATATTAATGGCACCTCTAGATTTGCATTTTCAAATTACTTTTTAAAATATTCCATCTATAGTGGAACTTATTAGAGTAACCTCCCTTTGATATTCAAAATCCATGAGGTATTATGGGAAAAAAAACAAAAACATGCAACTTTTTTTCTGGAAGACTCACTTTGGATCATTTTAGTGAGACTAGCAAAATAATTTGGCTTATACTTGGGGACTTTATGTCATAAAACCAATACAATAGTGTATTTGAGGGACAAAAGGGAAAGTTCATAAATTCCAAATAAGAAATGCATATTTTCTTTGGTAACGTTATGCTATTGTTTATTCTTTGTGGTTCATGTAAGCACCTTGTTATTTGCCATTAATTTCATTCCCTGGATGGTAATTGAGATTCTATGCACCAAGCACTGTCTTAGACTTGGAGAATTTTGCAGAGTAGTGATACACGTTGTCTGGCCTCTCAAGTTCTGATAGAGACCTTATCAAGGAACAACCTAGTGTACTTGGGGTTGGGCAAGCACTGTGATGGAGACCCGGAAACAAAATTCTGTGCCCAGAGGAAGATGTCATTAATTCTGCCCAGAAACTGTTGCCTGGAGAACTGTCTGCCCATCAAGTGAACGTTTCCCAGTTTTACTGAGAGTCATCAATGAGTGGGTTCATCTTCATGAAGTCTTCATGAGGAAAGAGTGTGTTCACACATGGGTTATTCATGACATGGCAGTTCTGACTCTCAGGTACAGGAATAAAATGGGAAGCAGATTTTTAGACCCGACTACAACTTTCATTTTTTTACAGACTTCCTGTTTGTTTAACCTATATTCTGAGCATATCATGAGAAATGCCGGGCTAGATGAGTTACAAGCCGGAATCAAAATACATGGAAGAAACAACATCAGATATGCAGATGATGCCACTCCAGTGGCAGAAAGTGAACAGGAACTAAAGAGCCTCATGATGAGGGTGAAGGAGAAGAGTGAAAGAGCCAGCTTAAAACTAAATATTAAAAAAAAAAAAAACTAAGATCATGGCATCGAGCCCCATTACTTCATGGCAAATAGAAGGAGTGAGGGGGGGAAATAGTGACAAATTTCCTCTTCTTGGGCTCTAAAAATCACTGCAGATGGTGACTGCAGCCATGAAATCAGAAGATGATTGCTTCTTGGCAGGAAAGCTGTGACAAATCTAGACAGTGTGTTGAAAAGCAGAGACATCACTCTGCTGAAAAAAAGTCCAATATAGTCAAGGCTATGGTCCTCCCAGTGGTCATGTACGGTTGTGAGACCATAAAGAAGGCAGAATGCCAAAGAATTGATGCCTTCAGACTTTGGTACTGGAAGACTCCTGAGAGTCCCTTGAACAGCAAGGAGATCAAACCAGTCAATCTTAAGAGAAATCAACCCTGAATACTCATTGGAAGGATTGATGCTGAAGCTGAAGCTCCAGTATTTTGGTCATATGATGCAAACAGCTGACTCATTGAAGTCCTTGATGCTGGGAAAAATTGAGGGCAGAAGGAGAAGAGGACATCAGAGGATGAGGTGGCTCGATGGCATCACTGATGCAGTGGACATGAACTTGGGCAATTTTGGGAGATGGTGAGGGGCAGGGAGGCTTGGCGTGCTCTAGTCCACGGTGTTGCAAAGAGTCAGACACAACTGCGTAACTGAATAATAATGAACAACAACAACTTTCAAATGTGTAAAAACTTAATGTTTGTTCCTAGGTCGGGAAAACAATTTTAAGTTTTCAGATGAGACTCTTAACATTGCTTCAAACACATTTGATGTCTTGAACTGTTTTAATCTCTCTGAATGCAGTTTTCAGTAAGACACGCATTGATATTTTAAACCCTAATACTTGTCACATATTTGTTTCATTTTATCTTTCATTTTAGTTCAGTACCATTTGAAGAAAGAATTTTAGCCGTTCTTAAGTGGCTACAGCTTCCTAAAGATGAAAGGTATGTAGATGATTAATTTCTACTATAAAATACTGCTTTGTTTTATAAAAATGTCTGAATATTTTAAATAGATGACAGAAAACTTTGCTGTTGGCTATGATGTTTTATATCCAAATGAACTTTTTAGTGACTGTTACAGCCACGTTTTGAAGAATTCTAAACATGTAAATTATTTCTCAGCACTTTTAGAAATGTTACTCCAGTGCTGTAAACTTGTATTCACTATCACTTGTTGAATTATTCTTTCTATTCTGTTTTACAATGTGTTCGTAAAATATTACATTTTGATGCTGTTTGATTTAGACCACACTTTTACACTCTGTATTTAGAAGAACCAGATTCTTCGGGTCACTCTTATGGACCAGTCAGCAGTGAAGTAAGTACGTTTTTATCACTGGTTCTTTCATTAAACGTGGTAGCATCTCACTGAACCTTGCTTTGAAGCAGATTTCTTGATCATTCTATAAGAATCCATGATTTCTAGAAACAGTATTAAGGACATTTCTATTAAACTAAAAAGATGCACTTTAATCAAAACGAACTGGGAGCATTGTTTGATTTTACACTATCTACAGTGCTGAACTGAACAAATGATGAGTTAAATTCTGTATTTTTAATTTCAAATGAGACCTGTCACTCTCCACCCTCTGTCCTCTTTCTAGCAAAACCTATCTCCAGTGATTTCAGTGTTGTACGACCCTATGTGCTCTTGCTCTGATTCTGTCCCATCAGCTCAGCAGAGATGCTCTTTCTGAGAGGTGCGAGACACGTGGCCGACAGCGCGGTCGTGTCATCGCTAGACTGAGGAAGGTTTCCCATACCTCTTATGTTAGTCTAAACAATTAGCCAGATGCTAATATAATTTTTATTCTTTCACTATCAAGATCCATCTCTAGGTCAGTTTGGCTACAAGTAAGTCTAAGGGTCATTTTGTAATGGATTATCAGATCATATAAATTTTAAGACCAAAAAAAAAATTTTTTTTAAGACCAGTATTACTTTTGTGTTCACTAAAGATTTCCCTCTTGAGAAACCTGTATGCAGGTCAGGAAGCAACAGTTTGAACTGGACATGGAACAACAGACTGGTTCCAAATAGGAAAAGGAGTACATCAAGGCTGAATATTGTCACCCTGCTTATTTAACTTATATGCAGAGTACATCATGAGAAACGCTGGGCTGGAAGAAGCACAAGCTGGAATCAAGATTGCCAGGAGAATATCAATAACCTCAGATATGCAGATGACACCACCCTTGTGGCAGAAAGTGAAGAGGAACTAAAAAGCCTCTTGATGAAAGTGAAAGAGGAGAATGAAAAAGTTGGCTTAAAGCTCCACATTCAGAAAACAAAGATCATGGCATCTGGTCCCATCACTTCATGGGAAATAGATGGCGAAACAGTGGCAACAGTGGCTGACTTTATTTTTTTGGGCTCCAAAATCACTGCAGATGGTGATTGCAGCCATGAAATTAAAAGACGCTTACTCCTTGGAAGAAAAGTTACGACCAACCTAGACAGCATATTAAAAAGTAGAGATATTACTTTGCCAACAAAGGTCCATCTAGTCAAGGCTATGGTTTTTCCAGTAATCATGTATGGATGTGAGATTTGGACTGTAAAGAAAGCTGAGCACAGAAGAATTGATGCTTTTGAACTGTGGTGTTGGAGAAGACTCTTGAGAGTCTCTTGGACTGCAAGGAGATCCAAACCAGTCCATCCTAAAGGAAATTAGTCCTGGGTGTTCATTGGAAGGACTAATGTTGAAGCTGAAACTCCAGTACTTTGCCACCTGATGCGAAGAGCTGACTCATTGGAAAAGACCCTGATGCTGGGAAAGATTGAGGGCAGGAGGAGAAGGGGACGACAGAGGATGAGATGTTTGGATGGCATCACTGACTCAATGGACATGAGTTTGGATGAACTGTGGGAGTTGGTGATGGACAGGGAGGCCTGGCATGCTGCGGTTCATGGGGTCGCAGGGAGTTGGACACGACTGAGCGACTGAACTGAACTGAATTGAAAGATTTCCCAACATAACTGCTTTTCTGATTCATCTTCATTCAGTGTCCAGTCCATTGCTTTTCAAATCATATTCATCAATTTATAAACTCTGTTAAATGCTGGTATTATTGGCTCATCAAAACCTACTCTATTTTAATACTTAAAAATTCCAGTCCATGTTACTTGGATATCTTTCAGTCAGTGAGAGATCATGTTGAAAGAGCGTGTTTCATAATACAGTAAAATACACAGACTATAAGTAAAGATTAGACTGGTTTGCTATAGGCAAAGCTGCACAAGAATTTCCCTTGGGTGATTTTGCTGCAAGAGAGGAGCAGAGAAATACCAAAGGCAGTTTGCCAAAACCATATGCCATTCTGTGTCCTTGTGATAGTCAAGCAAAATAATGCAGTTTGTTCGGAAATAATGGGTTTTATTCCTAGAAGTTCTAGTTTTAAAAAATTAAGTACACAGAACTCCAAGAAGCATTCCGTGAATACTTTTAACTGCATGACATGAGATTGTTTCCCTTTCTTAGGTCATCAGAGCTTTGCAGAGGGTTGACAACATGGTTGGCATGCTGATGGATGGTCTGAAGGAGCTGAACTTGCATAGATGCTTGAACCTCATCCTCATTTCAGATCATGGTAACCTAAGTTTACATCATTTATCCTTCAGGTTAAATGGAGCTTCCAGAAGTTTACTTGATTGATTAATGTTTTATTGTTTCCTCTGACTTTTATAGCCAATGATTTCTTGAGGAGAACCTTTAGAAAATACTACATTATATATAACGTACAAGTGAAACAGAGAACTCACAGACACCTAAGAGCTTATTAACCACAATGCATTTATCTCCTGATTTGGGGAAGGCTTACATCAGGAACTTGGGTTTTTTTTCAATATTAGATTTTGGTAAATCTACTCTAAACATTTTAGGCATACTTTGAACAGATTATTATGTGCTTCTTCTATTTTCTCTAGAATGATAAATCTGACTTTAAAAAGGAGTATGTGTTAATTTTGGCAGTATTTTGATCTAACTGTTGCTTACTGTGACCTTTGGAACATTTTGTATGCAGACTTGGGACTGTAAAAGCGATGTGTATACAAGAAAATCAGAAAAAGCTTCTTTTTCTTTGTTCTTGTTGTTATTATTGTTTGCTTCAGAAATAATTATTGAAAACTATATTCTAGAAACAGTCCTAAGAAGATGTATTCTAAAGAAGCCTCCAGTTTGAAAATGAGATGAGTGTTTTATACTCCTAGTTAATATACTAGTTGATTCTGAGAAAATAACTGTGCTTTCATATTCAGGCTAAAACTGTGATATTCTTCCCCATTCACATAAAAATATTGTAATACCTAAATAAGAAACACTGAACTAATTTTGGATGAAGAGAAGGGAAAATATTTTTTTTTAAGTGAAGTGGTAAATATATGTGAAACTCTGTGTCTTACCTGTTAGATGTTCAACTATCACAAGTGCTGCATGCGTGTGTGCTAAGTCACTTCAGTCATGTCTGCTCTTTGTGACCCCATGGACTGTAGCCCACCAGGCTCCTCTGTCCATGGGATTCTCCAAGCAGGAATACTAGAGCGAGTTGCCCTGCCCTCCTCCAGGGAATCTTCTGACCCAGGGATCGAACCTACGTCTTTTAAGTCTTCTGTACTGGCAGGCAGGTTCTTTGCCACTAGCGCCACCTAGGAAGCCCATCATGAATGCTGACCTCATGTTTATTGATTTAAATCTGTAAGTGAAAGAAATTCTGTCCTACATGTTAAAGGTTTTTTATTAAAGTTGCAACATGTTTGGGGATTTTTTTTTTTTCTCCTAGGCATGGAACAAGGCAGTTGTAAGAAATATGTGTATCTGAATAAATACTTGGGAGATATTAAAGATGTTAAAGTTGTATATGGACCTGCAGCTCGCCTGAGACCCTCTGATGTTCCAGATAAATACTATTCATGTAAGTCTATCTCTGTGCTAATTTTGAATATGATTATATTTACAGTTAGTGTGTGTGTGCTCAGTCGTGCCTAACTCTTTGTAACCTCATGGACTGTAGCCTGCCAGGCTCCTTTGTCCATAGGATTCTTCAGGCAGGAATACTGGAGTGGGTTGCCATTTCCTACTATAGGGGATCTTCCTTGCAGGCGATCCCCAGTAGGGGATCCCTGACCCAGGTATCGAACCTGGATCTCTTGCATCTCCTGCATTAGCAGATGAATTCTTTACCACCTGGGAAGGCTCTATATTTACAATCATTCCTCTGAATCATATCTTTAAATTAAAGGTGATCAATTAATTTCTTTTTCATGATTAAATATCCAGGACTGGCCTTCTGCACCCAAAGGGATTTTACGGGACTGGATGTGAGGGCACAAGTCTAACCGCTAATCTGTTATTCATGACTAAGAATGTTATTTGATGAGCTTGGTACAGTTTTATGTTATCATGTGTATTTTTCTTGGGCTTCCCTGGTGGTTCAGATGGTAAAGCATCTGCCTGCAATGCAGCAGACCTGGGTTCGATTCCTGGGTTGGGAAGATCTCCTGCAGAAGGGAATGGCAACCCACTCCAGTATTCTTTCCTGGAGAATTCCATGGACAGAGGAGCCTGGCGGGCTACAGTCCATGGATGGCATCGCAAAGAGTCTCAGAGACACGACTGAGCAAGTATCACTTTCACTTTCATATTTTGCTTGTGTTGGATTCAAGATTACTTATAGGGAAAAAAGCTCAAAATTTCAGCTACATTTATTCAACTTTAATTAATATTATTTCATTAAAATTACCTACAGATGTTATAGGATAATAGTCCATTATGAGGAAGAATGCTGGCTGAAATGTCTAATTCTATAAGCAACTAATTTCTCTTCCCAGAAATGACTTTCTTAAACTATTCCGAAAAGCAATGAGAATGTGTTTTGTGAGCAGAGAAGAAGAAATTTCACATTCTCTCTTGACCACATGTCATACCCAAACTGCCAGGAAATTTTAAACATTCATTCTTTTGAAAATTAAGCCTGTTTAAGAACTGATTGTTATACCCTTCTTTTCAATTACCATCCTTGGTAATTGTAAAATACTAAGAGTAGTTTTGTTTATCATTCTGTTATAATTACCTTTGAAATGGAAAGAGAAAAGAGATTTTTCTGACAGTCATCAGCATTGGATTAGGTTTGGGTATATGCAGTGCTATATGTTTCAGTAGATATGGTTGAATATTCATGAGGAGATGTGGATTTCCCTCCAGGAAAATTGTTATGCAAGTATATTGACATAGTAACCCAAAGCATAGATTCTAACTTGTACAATAACAAGTTTTAATTAGTACTTAAGAAAAATTATTAAAGTAGTATGTGATTGTTTTAAATGGATTTGTGTCTGATGTGCTGTATTTTTGTATTATTTTTAATGGTAGCATACCATTCAACTATTCTTGTCTTTATCTCTCTTCAGTTGATTATGAAGGCATTGCCAAAAATCTTTCTGTGAGTATCTTTTTTCCCCCATTACCATTTTGTTGCTAGTTTTGTATAAAATATATTTAGAAGAAAGTTTTGGTATTTGATTGGGAGATTGTAGGACTTTAACCTTAATCTATTTTTTTTTTTTGAGTATCTGGGCCAACATTTAAATGCCCTGTATTTTTTAAAAGCCTTTAAGGACATATCTCAATAATGTAGGTTTTTAAAATTTTAAGAATTTATTTATTGACATTATTAAATTTATGTGACAGTACAAGAAATAATTGAAAACAATAGGAGGGGAAACCCTGTAACCATACTACCATAAACACTTAGCATTATGATATATTTCCTGCAAGTTTTTCTTGTGTTGATTTCTTAAACTTTTGTCCTAGTGCTAATTTACCTATATTCCATTTTTTTTACTTGACAAAATTCTTACAATTTTAAAGAAAGTTCTTAAAATTATTATAAGAGTATTTGAAAATAGATTATCAGTAGTAGCACAAATATAAACTGGTGGCTCAATCTAAAAATCCTAGGGCTCTTATGCAATAATTAGAATTTCCTATAAAATAAGAATATATAATAGTTGGGAATATGCAACTTTTACATTATATAAGTAGTGAAAACTCAGTTATTTTTGTATCTATGACTTATTGGGCATACTGATTAAACGTTTGGGAGAAAAAATTCATATGGACTTAGGAAGCAATTTCAAGAGCAGTTTACACTTAAGAAAATATGGAAATAATGGTTTTTCTTTGCCTCTTACAATTTCAGTGCCAGGAACCAAACCAGCACTTCAAACCTTACCTGAAACAATTCTTACCCAAGCGTTTGCATTTTGCCAAAAGTGACAGAATTGAGCCCTTGACATTCTATTTGGATCCTCAGTGGCAACTTGCATTGTAAGTTCTGACAGTCTCCCAGGTAAACCTAGTCATCCAAGGTAACCATTGGGTCCTTTCCAATGATGTTGTAATATGAAGACTTCAAATATGATTCTCTTTTTGTCCCAGTTTCTCTCAGCCTTGGACTATTGACATTTGGGATCAGATAATTCTTTGTGGTGGTGAGCTGTCGTGTGTTGTGGGTTATTTGAAAACATCCCTGGCTTCTACTCATTAGATAAAAAAGTACTTTCGATAGTTGTGACAACAAAAAATATCTGCATACATTGCTGCAAATTCCCTGGTGAGAGGGGTCACTTCCAGCTAAGAACCACTGCTCTGTCCCCTCACATCCATCTTGATTATTTCTTATGTTCCACTTGCCATTGTGTCTCTTCTATATGTTATAGTTATGCCTAATAATACCTTTAAAGTCTAACAAATGATTGGCAAAAGCTCTTTATAATAATGAGCAATTACTATCTTCATTAGAGATTTTTTTTCATTCTTGTTATACTAAATCTATCAATAAACCTCAGTTTATTGGTATGTTCAGCAAATTATTTGGATCCTGCATATTGTTAATATCTCAAACTTGATCATTAACTTTTGGAAACCAGAAAGCCAGAGATGATAAATACATACCCTATCCAGCAAAACCTAAGCAGTAAAACAGAATTCAGTCAACAGAATTACACTGTCTCTCCCTTATTTGAGAACTGTGCTTTCAGTGTTTAGAAAAAGAATATGAAAGAAGAAAAGGTCCTTATTCTCATGAGAGAACTAATATTTAGTTCTCTAATAATAACATATCTACTATGTTCCAAGCATTTCTTTAGGTATAATTTTTACAAGTAAATTGTTAAATACAAAGAATAGTTACTCTTTATTAATGGAAATAATGTCATGAGTGTCGATTTTGCTTTACGAGTGGACTTTGCATTATTAATTTGTATTATGTGACAATTAGGAATCCTTCAGAAAGGAAATATTGTGGAAGTGGATTCCATGGCTCTGATAATGCATTTTCAAATATGCAAGTGAGTAAACCTATTCTACTTTAAAAATTATAGTTTATATCTAAGGAAAAAACTGATATATAAAGTTTTAAACTTAAAGACATAGACTGTCATTATGTGTCTTTAAAGAGAATTAATGAGGCACGTACTTTCATATAGCTATTTTACTTTAAACATTAATAGAATTTTAAAAAAATTTATGTTTCATGAATGTGTGACTTACACTCTGTGTGTGTGTATATGTGTGTGTGCGCACACACGTGCACACGCACGTGCGCACGCTCAGTCGTGTCCAACTCTTTGTGACCCTATGGAGTGTAGCCCACTAGGCTCCTCTCTCCATGGGATTTTCCAGGCAAGAACTCTGGAGTGGGCTGCCATTTCCTCCTCCAGGAGATCGTCCCAACCCAGGGATCAAACCTGTGTCCGCTGCATTGGCAGGCAGATTCTTTCCCACTGAGCCACCTGGAAATATGGAAGCCCATATTTCATACTATATTTCTAATAATTATTTTTTCATCTATTTGTAATTCATTGAGAATGTTGCTTCACAGTAAATGAAAGGCAGTAATTAATAGGTGGAAAGATAACATACTTATGTTCTAAATAAAGATAATCCCCTCCATTTGCCTAGAACTTTAAAAATTTCAAAATACACTCATATCATTATCTAATTTGATCCCTACAGCATGGTGTATGATGGGCAGAGTAAGATTTAGATCCCATTTCACAGCTGAAAAAAGATTTCATCATCATTTTGTTCTGGTTGTCAGGTTAGGAATTGTAATAAAGTTAAGAGAGATATCCTAGATGTCTTTAGATTAAATGTGCAACAGGGATTAAAATAATATCCTAGAAGGTCCACTGGGCACAGTATTTTTCCACTTATCTTAATATAACCAGTTTGTATATGTACAACGGGCAAAGATATAAAATACCTTTTTAGTGACCACCTCTTTAGTGACCAGTTTCTTTTCTGGCCAACATAGGCTCTCTTTATTGGCTACGGACCTGGATTCAAGCACAGCACTGAAGTTGACTCCTTTGAAAATGTTGAAGTCTATAACTTAATGTGTGGTAAGTGTGAACAGGTAGCTCTTCTCCCTTCTGAACACAGAGCTGGAATAGATTATTGAAAGTAGGTCACATGCCAGGCACCTTTCAGGAAATGATGATAAGACAAGATCCTCATATTTCCACCTTTCTTCTTCCTGACCCAGAGTCATTGAAAAAAATATGCAAAACATAGCTATCTGTTTCCACTAGGCTGCACAGTGGTGAGATATAACAGTCAGAGCAGACGATCTGTAAATGCCAAGTGCCTGGGACTTTGCTAGGCCCTAGACTTAATGAGATGATAATTGAACCAGATCAGGGTGGAAGCCAGAAAAAAGAGTTTGGAGGTTGTGAAAGGTAGAAAAAACAGGTGGATCCTCTAGTAGCAATAATAGTTGAATGGACGGCAGTGTCAAGGTTGCAGAAATGGAGAACACTCTAGCTGTATTCTTAGTTTACTCCATACCTTCTAAACTAGAGCTTTTATGGTTGAGTATTGCATTTAAAATATTGCTTCCTTTTCCTGATAACAGTACTGGAATTTATAAAACCTTGAATGTGTCCTAAGTATTGACATAATTCTTTTAGTGGGAGCCTGAATACTTAAGTGAGTTAATATATCCTAAAGCATCTAAACAGTGCCTGGCATATAAGTGCTTTACTGTGTAAGTGTTTGCTATTGTTATTATTAACAGCATGAGTCTTAGACTTGGACTGAGCTGATTTTGAAACCTAGGTCTACTGTATTAGTAGCTTGAGACCTTTAGCTGAGTAAGCATGCTGATTCCAGGTGTGCATGTGTACCAAGTCGCTTCAGTCCAGTCCAACTCTTTGCGACACTGCAGACTGAAGCCCAACAGGCCCCTCTATCCATGGGATTTTCCAGGCAAGAATACTGGAGTGGGTTGCCATTTCCTCCTCCAGGAGATCTTCCTGACCCAGGGATTGAACCCACATCTCCTAATTCTCCTGCATTGGCAGGTAGGTTCTTTACCATTAGCACCACCTGGGAAGCCCACCTTGGAGAAATTGAAATTCAGTTCTAGACTATTGCAATAAAGCAAGTACATGAGTTTTTTTGATTTTCAGTGCATATAAAAGCTATTTTTACACAGTAGCGTAGTCTATTAAGTGTGCAATAGCTTATGTTTACAAAAATGTACAGACTTTAATTAAAAAGTACTTTATCGCTAAAACATGCTAAGCATCATCTCACAATGTGGTCACAGACCTTCAACTATAAAAAAATCTCTGGAGTGTAATAAAATGAAGTACAATGAAATGCTTGCTCCTCGGATGAAAAGCTATGGCAAACCTAGACAGTGTATTGAAAGCAGAGATATGACTTTGCCAACAAAGTTCCGTCAAGGCAAAGCTATGGTTTTTCCAGTAGTCATGTACAGATGTGAGAGTTAGACCATAAAGAGGGTTGAGTGCTGAAGAATTGATTCTTTTGAACTGTGGTGTTATAGAAGACTCTTGAGAATCCCTTGGATAGCAAGCAGATCAAACTAGTCAATCCTAAAGGAAATCAACCCTGAATATTCACTGGAAGGACTGATGCTAAAGCTCCAATACTTTGGCCAGCTGATGCAAAGAGCCAACTCATTGGAAAAGACCCTGATGCTGGGAAAGATTGAGGGCAAAAGGAGAAGAGATGACAGGATGAAATGGTTGTATGGCATCATCGACTCAATGGACTTGAGTTTGAGCAAACTGGGAGATAGTGAAGGATAGGGAAGCCTGGCATTTTGCAGTCCATGGGGTTGCAAAGAGTCAGACGTGACTTAATGACTGAATAACAATGAAATGATGTCTGCCTGTATTCATCTACCAAATATTGACAACTTAAATATATTTAGCACGATTGGCATATAATAAGCATTCAATAGGGGATAACTACAGTTATTGTTTACACTAAAATTTAGAAATTTTTATAGAGAAGCACAGCATGCATATCAATATTTCCATCAAGAATAACCTGATCATAAATATTCTACAACATGAGAGAGAGAGATTTTTAGTTTTATTTTAGGTAAAGAGTTAAGGACTCTTATATAGATTTGGATTTAAAAAATAAAATTCATAGTGCAAAACTACTATTTAATTTTGAAATTTCTTAAGTAAATATTTACCATTCTTGGAATTGTGCAGATTTACTGAATTTGACCCCAGCTCCCAATAATGGGACTCATGGAAGCCTTAATCACCTTCTAAGCAATCCTGTCTACACTCCAAAGCATCCCAAAGAAGTCCGCTCCCTGGTCCAGTGCCCCTTCCCAAGAGCGCCCAGGGAGAGCCTCGACTGCTCATGTGATCCCTCAGTAAGTATTCCGAAGATATTTAGCCCAGTGGCTATGACTTTATAGCACCTTCTGCATAGCGTATGCTGCAGAAATATATGATGATTGAATTAAAATCTGTGAGTGGAAGCGAATGTACATATTTTAAACTCTAGTGACATATGCCGACCTTTTTATTTTTTATTTTTCCCCCTCTTAGTTTTTACACTCTTGCTGTATTTTTTTTTCATTTATTTTTATTAGTTGGAGGCTAATTACTTCACAACATTTCAGTGGGTTTTGTCATACACTGACATGAATCAGCCATGGAGTTACATGTATTCCCCATCCCGATCCCCACTCCCACCTCCCTCTCCACCCGATTCCTCTGGGTCTTCCCAGTGCACCAGGCCCGAGCACTGGTCTCATGCATCCAACCTGGGCTGGTGATCTGTTAAACTATAGATAATATACATGCTGTTCTTTCAAAACATCCCACCCTCGCCTTCTCCCACAGAGTCCAAAAGTCTGTTCTGTACATCTGTGTCTCTTTTTCTGTTTTGCATATAGGGTTATCGTTACTATCTTTCTAAATTTCATATATATGTGTTAGTATGCTGTAATGTTCTTTATCTTTCTGGCTTACTTCACTCTGTATAATGGGCTCCAGTTTCATCCATCTCATTAGAACTGATTCAAATGAATTCTTTTTAATGGCTGAGTAATATTCCATGGTGTATATGTACCACAGCTTCCTTATCCATTCGCCTGCTGATGGGCATCTAGGTTGCTTCCATGTCCTGGCTATTATAAACAGTGCTGCGATGAACATTGGGGTGCACGTGTCTCTTTCAGATCTGGTTTCCTCGGTGTGTATGCCCAGGAGTGGGATTGCTGAGTCATATGGCAGTTCTATTTCCAGTTTTTAAAGAAATCTCCATACTGTTTTCCATAGTGGCTGTAATAGTTTGCATTCCCACCAACAGTGTAAGAGGGTTCCTTTTTCTCCACACCCTCTCCAGCATTTATTGCTTGTAGACTTTTGGATAGCAGCCATCCTGACTGGCGTGTAATGGTACCTCATCGTGGTTTTGATGTGCATTTCTCTGATAATGAGTGATGTTGAGCATCTTTTCATGTGTTTTTGTGCCATCTGTATGTCTTCCTTGGAGAAATGTCTGTTTAGTTCTTTGGCCCATTTTTTGATTGGGTCATTTATTTTTCTTGAATTGAGCTTCAGGAGTTGCTTGTATATTTTTGAGATTAATCCTTTGTCTGCTGCTTCGTTTGCTATTATTTTCTCCCAATCTGAGGGCTGTCTTTTCACCTTACTTATAGTTTCCTTTGTTGTGCAAAAGCTTTTAAGTTTCATTAGGTCCCATTTGTTTATTTTTGCTTTTTTAATCCCCTGGTATTGAGACTTGATTTGGCTGCAGGCTGCAAGGAGGCTAGCTGAATTCTGAAATATACTCAATCCCAGAATCCGGGCTGCCCTCCTAAGCAGTGAGGTCTTTTATGAACCAATCTTAGTGTTCCCTCTCTAAAATACATCCCAACCTATTTTAAATTTAGAAGGAAAATATTTTGGGGGATGAAATGAATTTATGACACTTCATTTTTACTCCTATCTTAATATGTAATTGTTGTAAGGAGATGACAATATATGACAAATTATAAACAAAATTGCTTGTGTCCATAAAAGCAGGCATTTGAGTAGCTCATCTTATGCTCTGTCTTTTATTTTAGGCTTAATTTATGCTTGTAAAAGACCATAAGAATAGAGATAAGAATTATAAACAGTAGTTATATTCTTATTTTTAATGACTTGTGTTCTGCTGTGTTAATAATTTTGTCTTTTTGCAACTATTATCCCTATGTTTTTATCCTCTTCAAAAAAATAATTTCACTTGTACAGAATGGTTATAATTTTATCTTTGTTCTATGGTGGAATACTTAAGCTGTAAAAGTCATTTGTTACAAAATTAAAGCACATTTTTCAATCCTCAAAAATTGTATCATTAATTTTTTAGATTTTGCCAATTGTGGATTTTCAGACACAGTTGAATCTGACCATGGCAGAAGGTAAGCAGGCTTTTCCTCAACAATGTGAAGCTCAGAATTAGTTTGGGGTCATTGTTTGAGAATAACCAATAAAATAAGGTTGTAGTGGAGGACCAGCTGACGAACTGGGTGAACTTCTTAGCTTGACAATCTAAACTGTTAGTCATAAGGAAGGAAAGGGTGTTTACAGTGGAAGCGATATGTAATGTAATTAGTGGAAGCTGAATCACTCTTTATGGACTCAGTGGAGTATTTTGAGATTTTGAAGATATTTATAGGTTTATATTATAATAATAGGTCCTCAGATCCCATTTAAAATACCTAACTTTCTGTTTCACTTAGTTCTTAATTATAAGGGAGTATAAATTGATTTATCTAAAGTTACTTTTTCATAACTCTCGAACTAAAATTAAGCATATGCAGACATCTGACGAAGTGTGGATATTTAGTATCCCTTTGATATTCCTTGACACAGTCTCAGATCCTTGAGTTACTTGGCTAACAGTTTTTTCTTGCGGGAATACAAAAGTGAATTCTGCATGGTCTTGGACTTGGACTCCTCTCTATGAAATCTCTATAAATGTGCAGATTAGAGAAATTTTAGATGACCCCAAGGTGGCAAAGTGCCATGATGAAAAATGACACCTTTGGAACTGAGTAGATATGGGTTTGAATATGAGCTTAGAGACCGTATGTCCACAGAAAAAGTGTTTGTTCCCTATAAGTTGCTCTTTTCTCATCTATAAAGTAAGTATATAGCCTCAATTTATAGGAGTCCATATGAATTAAATTCAGTAATATATACAGAGAATTCTATAAAGCATCTGATGCTTGAGAAAAGGGCAATAAATTGTATATGTACTCTTATTCCATTTGCTATAGTCTCATAATTTCAGTTTAAAATTTTTGCTTTCTGAGTATACACATCATCCAGAAAACTTTCTTTTGATATTATGTCTTGGAAAATAAGTAATAAAGATAATATTAAAGAATTTTAGTAATATAAGTCCTAATTACTGAAATTCCCAGCAATCTCGTGTAGTATCTTCTTGTGATATCTTAATATCACATTGATATTTCAGGATCTACATAGGCACACACTGTTGTGAACCCCTTTTGTTTTTTTAAAATTGTTTATGGTTCTGTTATTTGTAAGTAGTTTTGTTTTACAGTTACAAATAATTTTTCAATAGCATTAAGTAGAGAAAAGAATCAGATGCGTGTGTATCATTATATCTTACCATGGGAAGCATACTAAGTGTGTTTGAACAGTGGTTTCACGTTCCCCCTATGACCCAAGAGAAGACCATTAAGCGTGGCTCTCTGCCCTATGGAAGACCCAGAGTTCTCCAGAACAGCACTGTCTGTCTGCTTTATCAGCACCAGTTTGTGAGTGGCTACAGCCATGACATCCTGATGCCTCTTTGGACATCCTACACCATCGACAGAAATGCAAGTATTTGTCACCTCTTTGCCTCTGTGTGGTTATTTTATATTATTACTAAGCAAAACTTTGACAGCATCATTTCTCACTGTCAATCTCGGCTCTGTAACCAGCTCCCAAATTAGAAGATCACTGAACTGAAAGTCGGAAAAATTAGGTCCCGGTTCTAGCTTGGCCACTGACTAGCTCTGTGACTTTGACATTCAGAGCAAACCTTTGTGAAATGAGGGTATGCAGTGAAGGTTTCTCCCAGGCTTTGGTTTTTATTTTTTTCTTGGTTTTAATATTTGATGATGTTAATTTCTAATTTCATGAAGTCACTTTTACAATCAATTACAGTTATTATTTCTAAGTACACAGCTGTGTAAGTACAAGGATTTCCCGCAGCTGCCCAAATCTTGGGCCCTCAGGGATGGAGGAGGACATGGAAGCTCAGTAACCTCACTGCGTCTCCCACCTACAGGGAGACCTCCCAGAGCAAATCAGGAAGAGGCCTGGGGTCCTGCCCCCCACCCAGACTAGAGGAGCTCAGCCTCGAAAGGAGCCAAGATGTTCCAGAATAAGACCACCATTCTCCCTCACCCTCACCCCCTGGATGCTGTGGTAGCAAGATAAATGAGGAAAGAAATAGAGCTTGAGAGAGAGAGAATGGCGGCAGGAGATGAGGCTTACATCTTATCTGGAAATAAAGTTTTAACTAGTTCTTCACTCCCTAAGTCATGTCCGACTCTCTGCGACCCCATGGACTGCAGCACGCCAGGCTTCCCTGTCCTTCACTGTCTTTGGAGTTTGTTCACACTCAACTCCATTGAGTCAGTGATGCCATCCAACCATCTCATCCTCTGTCACCCTCTTCCCCTCCTGCCCTCATTCTTTCCCAGCATCAGGGTCTAAACCAGACTGACCAGATTTTCAGAAACTGAAAATGTCTGGTAAGATATACGATGCCCTTAAGGGATAGAAAGGGGATTTGAGAGAGCTTAGTTGACTATAGCAGTTAGATTTTAAAAACACAGTTACTGTTTCTACTCACTAAGATTGTTCACGTAGATGTCATTTTTGTATCTGTGTGTAGAGAGAATACACACACACATTCACATATGTACGGAAAGTTTCTACCTTAATTTGATTTTTAATTTTTGAAGAACATCTTCAAACATTTCAAACACTTTTTAATTGACTTTGTAATATTGAGTTCGCCAAAAACTTGATTTGTGTTTTTCCAAAACATCTTCAAAACACCCAAATGAACTTTTTGGAAAACTCAGTATATAGCTTTTTACCCAGTGTTTTGTAGGTCCCCATCCTATTTATTATAGTTTAATGTCTTAATTATAATGTCCTTGGACTCTGTTTGAATTTTCAGTTTTCTTTTATAATGAAAGCTGCAAAAATTGAGTCATCACTACTCATGAGGTTTTCATATCAAATTACTGTTCAGTGGCTTTCCCCCACTGCCCGCGCCCCGCCCCCCCAACTTTTGGCTATGGTGTACTATGAAAGAGTCTGATCTCTAAAAATCAGCAATTCACTGCACAAAGGTTAGAAACCGAATAGACAAAAATATTATAAACAAAAGTAGCACAACATGGTAGGAAAAATTTGCACATGACAAATTTTTGCACATGACAACTGATTAATATCCTTAATATTATAAAGAGTTTTTACACTTTGGTTAGAAACAAGATGAATACACTAACAGAAAACTGAAAAGTGGAGCCGGGCATGAACAGACAACCAGAACTCCATGATTTTATGATGTGGTTTACCTTTGATTTATGATAAAGCTCTAGCGTTTTATTCTGTTCTGTATGCCTCATCCCTCATTGTCCTTTTCATTTTGTTCTTCAGGACAGTTTCTTTAAAGAAGACTTTTCCAACTGTCTTTACCAGGATCTCCGAATTCCTCTTAGTCCTGTCCATAAATGTTCATTTTATAAAAATAACGCTAAACTGAGCTATGGGTTCCTCTCCCCACCACGTAAGTCTCTTCCTCTCTGCTGTTCCCTTTCCCTTATGTTTTTTCTTTCTTTCATTTCCTTTTCTTTCTTATGGGGAAGTGTACATCTTGTTTATTTATTGGTGAAAACTGTGAATGGGGAATAGAACTATGAGGGACATTTTTCAAGTATCTAAAACTTGAGTTTTGGAAACCTGTTTACTTTTGTTTGGAGGGTGATGGATTTAGGGTAACCACTGTAGATAGAACATTCTTCACTTTTCTACATTTCTTTTAAACAGAATTTGAGAAACTCAGGTCAAAAGGATGCATCAGGGTTCTTAGGAAGGAGATAACCATTTTGTTGTTTAAAAAGAAAACTCTGATTTGTCAAAGAATGAGGTAAAGGGAGAACCCGAGTTTCCTTGCTCTTTCACTGATACAGGCCCCTGGGAAATGGCTTTTTTTTTTTTTAAATCGTGTTCTATTTTTTCAAGTGGCATATCTGTATGTTAATGAGAAGACATTTTGAGGCCAGCCTAAAAAGGAAAAAGTCAGAGGACTCCAGTCAATACGCTCAATATCCAGTCCAGTCCCCAGAGCAAGCTTCTGAAGTCAGAACTTGGCTTTTGCGTTATGAAAATAGGTCCAAGCCAGAAGTCCATACAAAGAAGCCTTGTATAGTATTTCAAGGCAGACATCCCTTGTGATGTTTTTTTCTGGTTAGTAGGTGTTCTGAAGCCAGATGTTCTCTTTTTTCTTTTTTCTGTGAAAGAGTTCAAGGAAAGATTGTTGACACAATATACTTTAGTTGAAAATAAGGCAAATGAGGTAAAATTTGAATATGTTTCATTTGGGCCCTTCATATTAAAGATTTCATTTCTTTGATAAATTCATTTTGAAGAAGAAAAAATCCAATTTTTTTTTAAGGGACCTGATCACATTGCATTTCCCGCCTTGATCTAGTACCTGGGAAAGTTTTACGAGTTTAAGATGATAACCCATTTTTTTAAGTACCCCCATGAGAAAGTATAGTTCTTACTGTGATTTGTAAAGAATGAAATAGTTGTTCTTGTTATTTTCTTTGTAGAATTACATAAAGGTTCAAGTCAAGTATATTCTGAAGCATTACTTACTACTAATATAGTGCCTATGTACCAGAGTTTTCAAGGTAAAATTTTTAATCTTATATCTCATAGTTTCAAATGAATTTCCCAAAATTATAGGTATGATTTATATGTAAATGACTGATCCTCCAAATTAAATGACTAAACATCAAAGATGTTCTTATAGGTTTGTTTAACTTAGAAAATACCAGTACACAAAAAATCCTACAAGTATTGAATTATGATATAGTCCCATATTTATTATTATGCTTTATATCTACAAACACTTTTATATTTATATTTTATATATATATTTATATTACAAACACTTGTGGGAAAAGAATGTAATGTTCTTCCTAACTTATCTAGCTAATGTAATCTACTAATATATATTAAATTTCAGTCTGTTGCCTTATTTAACTATTTAGAAGTTCTTGATAATTGTTTTTAATTTAAAATGAATGGATTTTACATCATTATTAATTATTGCAGCTATTGGCTTTTTTAAGAATAATACACATTTATACTTTAAGTAACTTATAGAGCATACAAGGAAAATTTTATTGTAGTTTACCTCTGGAATGCTTTTGAATAGTTCAAAATTCTCTAGAATATTTCCAAAAAAATAACAGATGTTAACAATAAATTTGAATAGCTTGCCTTGTTTGTGTTCTTATATTTTTTATGCTTAGTGATATGTGATCTCAGCTTCGTGATAATACATATGTTTAGGGATGCCTGAAGTAGAATTGAATTCAGCGTTTGCTGGTTAGTCTTTCCAAGAGCAAAAGCTGAACAATGGATTTTTGGCCAGACTTCACTTTATCCCTACTTATGACAAATGCTAAATTTGATTCATAATTTGACCCATAGTTGATTTATGTCATCTTGTTCTTTTGACACTGTAGCCTCTTCCTTCTTGTTTCAGTTATATGGCACTACTTGCATGGCACCTTACTGCAGAAGTATGCTGAAGAAAGAAATGGTCTCAATGTTGTCAGCGGTCCTGTGTTCGATTCTGATTATGACGGACGTTATGATTCCTTGGAGACTCTGAAGCAGTAAGAACATATTTCATTTACTCTTAAATACAGCTCTCAAATGGGACTACCATCCAGTTGAGTCAGCAGAACCTCTTCTATCTAACTATTCATATTTGTGTAGCTGACATTTCTGATTATGCAGGAAGCCCCTTGAAATAGCTGATTAATTTTGATGTTTTGATATTCAGTAAAATATTTTTTAGTTGAAAGTAGTGTTTATCCCCCACTCAGCTTAGGTGAATAATTCTATAGCTCATATTAAATACTAAACTCTGCCTTTTGTTAAGAAGATAACAACATTTAAAATCTCTTTCTGTGGCTATTGTGAAGATGCCTTTTTAACTAGCAAACTGCCAGTTTCAAGATAAATAATGAAGACATAAAGCCATAGTGCCGCAGTGTTGCTGTAGGTTGAATGTCACAGCTTTCAGTTTTATCCAACTCTGCTGCAAGGGGAATTTGTTGCAGGAACGAAAGTGGGGTGGAAGAGGATGGCCATGTCCCAGATCATTTCTGAGTCCCTGGGATGGCCACCAAGTGTGGGTTGCTGGCTCCACACAGGAAGGACTTCAAGAGCGAGCCATAGTAAAGAGAAATGAGGTTTATTCAGGGAGATACACACTCCATAGATAGAATGTGGGCCATCTCAGAAGGTAGGAGGCCCCAGGGTATGGAGTGTCAGTTTTATAGGGGTGGGTAATTTCACAGGCTAATCAGTGGGAGGGGGTATTCCAGCTCTTTTGAGGAAGGGGTGGGTATTTCCAGAAATTGGGCATTGCCCACTTTCTCATCTTTAGAGTCATCCTTGGGACTGTCATGGCGCCTGTGGGCATGTCATTTGGGATGCCGATGTGTTGCAGCAAGTGTATACTGACCCCCAAGGTCTAGTGGAATTTGAATTGTCCGCCACCTTGGACCTAGTTTGTTCTAACCAATTTATGTCACGTCCTTGGACTATGTTATGTTTTTAAAGGTTGTGCCCTGCCCTCTTCCAGTCTCAGAATGATACAGTGACCTTCTTGAGAAACCATCAGTGGTGCTTTCATAAAGGAAAGGGGAAGAACATTTTAGAGATCGGTTGATCTTCATTAAAACAATTGCAAAATTTTTGGAAGCAATTTTGGTTCTTCAGTCTATGAGAAAAGTGGAGTGAAACATACACTGGGATTCAGCCCCTTTCTGAGAACCACTCCCTCAGGCTGACTTAGAGGTTACTGTTTATACATGTACACCTGTGACCACATCATTTGTAAAATTATATTTTTAATATATTCTTTAAGGCATAAGGATCCTATGTAAATGCCTCAGAGGTAGCAGCAGGAGAATGGGTAGAGAAGAGAACTTATTCCTTTCCCATTCACAGCTTCAACTGGAACACATTTTAATCTGCTTTGTGTATAGTGGTTCCACATAAGACTGTGTTTGTTTGTTTGTTTAATGATACCACCACTACCTTAAATTTTGACAGATAACTAAAAAACCAAATGAATCTACTTTTTTTTTTCCCCAAACAAATCTAGTCTCCAGATCTAAGGAAATAAAATTAAGATGAGGTAAAGGTGTCACTTGGGACATCTTTGAGAATATGCTTTAATTAAAAACAAAAAATAAAAACAAAGTTATAGGATAGGAAAGAAGATCCAGTTAAAACAACAGCTGCTCTGAAGGAGCTGGAATGAAAAAATCTCAAACCAGTTCTCTCTCTTTCCCTCTCTGTTCGTAACTGCCTGGAGTTTAAAAGATTCTCAGTAATGCTTTAGAGTCTTGATTGTACATTTTCAAAATTGATGATTTTTTCCCTTAGTGTCTCAGTTTCAATATGTTAATGTAGGATTACCAAAAAAATAACAAAGTTTTAATAAATTTCTATAAAAAGTAACATTATTTGGATTGTGTTTCTATGTCTTCTAATTTTTCTTTCTCCATCTGGCAGAAAATGTTGAGGTATTATGATGACTGACTTCTTACAGTATGTTTAATTATTTGAATTTCATTGGGGGATATATTGTATTAAAAATATACTTGAGTGAGATAGTCATTAAAGGGAAGATAGTTATTTTTTTCTTAAAGTGCATATTACTGTATTTTACAGAAACAGCAAAATCATCCGTAAACAGGAAGTTCTGATTCCAACTCACTTCTTCATTGTGCTAACAAGTTGTAAAAACACATCCCAGACTCCCTTACAGTGTGAAAATTTAGATCCCTTGGCTTTCATTTTGCCTCACAGGACTGATAATAGTGAAAGCTGTGCGGTAAGTGGCCTTTGTAATTTATCTTTAAGCATTGATATATAAATATATTTGTGCATGTCTTACATCTGACATGCACATTACTGTGGGAAAAGAAGACATAACTAGAACATACATGTTTCAGACTATAGAATGGTTTTAAACTTGATCCTCTTAGTTTATTCAAAGAAGATCATTCTTGTCTGTTGAAAGCACTAACAGTAAGATCAAAATGTAAAAACTTAGTTGACGTCATATGGCTTAGCCACTAAATCCATGTATAAATTCTGGGCCCTTCCCTGGAAAAAAAGGGCTGCAATAGATTTATGCTTACATTTCACTAACCAAACTGATGTTAAGTGCCTTGAATTAGGTGTTAAGTTCCTTTTCCATCTGTACCATTCCAAAAGCTATTATGCCGATAACTTAAATTTAACAAATTCTATAAAGGCAGTGTAACTAGAAGACACTGAATATTGGACTTGAACTAGAAAGTGAATCCTTTGAAGGTGTATCACATATAATTGGTCTTCCCTGATCGCTCAGACGGTAACAAATCCACCTTCAATGCGAGAGACCTGGGTTCGGTCCCTGGGTTGGGAAGATCCCCTGGAGGAGGGCATGGCAACCCACTCTTGTATTCTTGCCTGGAGAATCCCATGGACAGAGGAGCCTGGCGGGCTACAGTCCCTGGGGTCACAGAGAGTTGGACACGACTGACCGACTAAGCACAGCACATATACTCACTGACCCCTCCTGTTTCATGTCTGATACAGTGACCAAGGATTAGCTGGATGTTGGCCTGAGAGAACAGATGTCTTTTATTTATTCATGTAAATGCTGGAACAGATGGCCAATATCTACTGGCCGAGTAGTCTACTGAGTCAGGCTCTGCCCTTGAAAGCCAGGGTGAGGGTTGGTGGAGTGGAGGAGACCGAGTGAAGCAGCTTCCGGGTAGTGGATGATTGGAAGTTGATGGGAAAATGGAAATTATTGATCTGTTCCCTTTCATGTGAAAAGTCTGTATTTATTATTTGCAACTAATAATATCATCAGGGCACATGAACCTTTACTGAAGTATGTCTTTAAAGTATAATCATTGCACACCAGCCAGTGGATATGTTCCTCATCTGACTTTCTCCAGTGGCCATTTTCAGAAAAATTTACACCAACATATGGGCGTATGATTTCCATCTCTGCTTCCATGTGCCAGAGCATAAGTCTTTAATTCTTTTTTGGTCTCATATTAGCTAGAACTTCACTACTTCACCAGAAGTGAAAGTGTGTTTTTCCACTTCCCCTAACCCTTTCTTCATTGCAACTGTGTAGATAACTGATTCTGATAAGAACTAGCATTTGTATAGCTCATTTGCACACAGCACTGTGTTTGATCTTCAGAACAACCCTGTGAGGAGGCCGCAGGTAAGAGAATTAGTATTCAGATGCTAAATAACTTGCCTCAGTTTACCTGGCAGGATAATGGTAGAAGTAGAACTTGAGTCCAAGTTGTTGTTCAGCCACCCAGTCATTCTGACTGTTTGCAGCTCTATGCACTGCAGCATGCCAGGCCTCTCTGTCCCTCACCATCTCCCAAAGTTTGCCCGAGTTCATATCCATTGCATCAATGATGCCATCCAGCCGTCTCATCCTCTGATGCCCTCTTCTTTTTCTGCCCTCAATCTTTCCCAGCATCAGGGACTTTTCCAACGAGTTTGCTGTTCACATCAGATGACCAAAATACTGCAGTTTCAACTTCAGCATCAGAGCTTCTAACCAGTATTCAGGGTTGATTTCCCTTAAGATTGACTGATTTGATCTTGCTGTCCAAGGGGCTCTCAGGAGTCTTTTCCAGCACCATCATTTGAAGGCATCAGTTCTTCAGCATCAATCCAAGTTCCTTTATGCTAATTCCCATATTCTTTGTACCGTGGCATGTCGCTTCTGTTTTCCAACATTTTTAACCCCATACTGTTTGCACCAAGGCAATGTAGGTACATCTGTTCCACATGCACTTTCCTCAGATTTAATACATCTGTTAAACAAACATGCATGGTATGTATTGGACGGTGAACTGCTCACGAGCAGGGATTATGCCCAACAATTCTCATGGCATCTGCCATTTAAGAGACAGGGTGTAATGGCTGATTACAATGAGGGAGATGCACAGTGTGTAGGGAAGGCGGATTGAATATTGTCCAGTGACTTTTCTTCCTTTCCCACCCTTATAGCACGGGAAGCATGAATCTTTATGGGTTGAAGAGTTGTTGAAGCTACACAGAGCTCGGATCACAGATGTTGAACACATCACCGGACTCAGCTTCTATCAAGAAAGAAAAGAGCCAATTTCAGACATTTTAAAGTTGAAAACACATTTGCCAACCTTTAACCAAGAAGACTGATACTTTTTTTTATTCCAAAAACAGGACAGTAAATCTTTGTGAAAGAGCCTTCTGTTTTATACATCCTCTATTTACACTGTTGCATTGTTTGGAGACTGTTGACCAGAGTTAGAACTGGGAATCCTCTGTGATACACGACCTTCTCAGGGAAACTTGTGGCCTCCGCGTAACAGTAGGAAAGTGTTCCTACTGAGTCTCACACATGTTTGAATGTGTAAGAATTGTTCAGATTTGGGAATAAAGACAGATCATACCTAAAACTGCTCTTCTACTTCTCTTAAGGGCAGAAGGAGCTGTGAACATTCTCCGGACACCAGATATTTGAATCATATTATCATTAATAAATTTCTATGATGCTGACAAACACTAGACTAATGAATAGGGTTGGAGTAGACCATGTTTCATTAGTTTATTCACAGGAATTTAAAAGTGATTCTGGATTCTTTTTAACTAGGATATTCATTTATTTTCATTTTAATCAGAAAAGTATATGGGAGCAGAAATATTTGAAGCCCTATTTTTATCTCTTCTATACACCCCCTCAAAAGCTTACTATTTTTTAATTGTCACTGGGTTTCTTCAGATTTAATGATTCTTTCAGGTTAAACTCTAAGGGACCATCTGTATGGAGTGTATCTACCCTTTATAAAATTTTATTCTACATTTGTACCAAAAAAGAAAAATATTCCAATCTGATCACTGATAATATAGGTTGAAGATAACTCCAATAATTGTTACTTTATACTGTTAAAAGTGTGCCTTGTCTTAGTTAAACTTCATGGGGCTTGTCAATTCATGCAAGATAGCATTTTTCATCCAAATGATAGGAATGTTTTCCTCTATAGACAAAAATCACCCTACTAGCAACAGAGCCATCCTGTTCTGAGATGTTCATTCTGAAGTTCCATTGATTTGAAGAGAATGTATTACCATCATTTATTATCTTCTTAATACTCATGATAAATGAACTTGATTGTCTTCACTTTGTAGACTATATATACCGTTCAGCACCAACCTGTGAATGTTCAAAAGCTACATTCATTTTTTAGGCTACTTGAATCTGATTTAAGTGTTATATTAATACACCAAAAGTCTGTATTTGTCCTTCACATTCCACTTGTTCTTCAATAGCATAGGGGCCCCAAACCTTCAGATAATACAACTTGCATCTGAAAATTATTTACTAATTTAGAAAGTTTCATTGATTTTATTTTAGTCCCACAGATCCCTGAGGTTATATACATTTTTTCCCCCAGTCTCTTTTTTCTCTTTTTCAGATTGGGCAATTTCTATTGTTCTGTCTTCAGTTTCACAGATTATTTCCTCTAATTCATTTTGCTGTTGAGCCCATTCATTGATTTTTATATTTCAGTTATTGCAGATTTTTTGTTTCTAAAATTTCCATTTGATTCTTCTTTGTAACTTTTATTTCCTTGCTAAGAATTTTTATCTCTTTGCTGAGACTTTCCAGTTTTGCATTTGTTTCAAACATGTTCATAATTGCTTATTGAAGCATTATGTTGGATGTTGTAAAATCCTTGTCAGATAATTCCTACATGTGTTGTCTTTATGTTGGCATCTGTTATCTTTTTTCATTCAAAAATATTTTTCTGGTTCTTGTTGTAATGAATGATTTTCAACTGAAACCTGGATATTTTAGGGATTATGTTTGAGACTGTGGATCTCATTTACACTTTCTGCTTTAGCTGACTTTAGCAGGGGAATTGCGGGCACTATCCTATTAATGCTTGTGTTAGAGTCCAGGTTTTTTCACCCTCTATTGACACTTGGAGTCAGCAGAAACCCTTGTTGCTGGACAGAGTGGGAATTCAGTATCCTCCTCTGTCTCCATTGATGTCTCCCTGCCTGGGATGTGCTAGGCTCCTAATTAGTGCTTCCACGGGGTCTGCACTGATGCTGTGGACAGGGGTGGCAAGGAAAGCTTTTTTTTTTTTTAATCACTAGTGGGAATAAAATTACCAGTTTCCTACTCAGCCATCTCTGATGTTCTCCTGGCAGAGAACTTGGGGCAACTCTTCACAGCCTGGCAAGCCCGTCTTTCCTGGCATGGTGATGTTTAGTTGGAGTGGAGTGGTTATTGTTTTGTTTCTTGCTAGGCCACTCCTCTTCTGGTCCTTTGGCTGGAGAGATAGCAGGCCTTTCTTGGGGTTTCTTTTTGTCCTTACTTGTTGGAATATCCAGGTTGCTGACTTTTTTGGCAGCAAGTCTGGGATATATGAACTAAAAGGAAGCCCAGGGGGACTCATTGCAGTGTTGCTGCTTGGGTCTTGAGGTCCCTAGCCTGTCTGCCTTCTCCTCTCCACCTTTTAGAATCTTCCTATCTTTCTTTTATATATAATAACAAAGCTTTTTATCTGCACTTTGCAGAAGGATATCTACTTCTTTATAGAAGTATCTTACTGATTTTTATATATTCTTCAAAACACATGCAGACACAGTTGCCTCTACATAGAACATCTTAGCAGATCTTAATTAAGTGGATAGACGCCTTTCCCCTTTGCCAGACACCAGGAATAACAGAAAAAAACAAGTTACAGTCTTTTCAGTCTTGAAGAAAGGGAGGAGACATAAGAAATGTAAATGATCCCAAGAGTGTGGTAAATGTTCTAAAGGAGCCGTGGGGCACGAAGGAGGCCCTGGTGCTCCTTGGCAGTGAGAGTGGGGGCTTACTAGAGGAGGGGACAGCTGGGCTCGGACTTGAGGGGTGAGTTAGAGCTCTTAAGGGGAATGGGTGCGGGAAGGGCATTTTAGCCTCCCTCCCTTGGATGCATACATTTTGGGCATTTTTCCATTTACTGCTGCTGCAGATATTTTCTACAAGTGTCACTGTGACCAGTTTACAATAAGCAACTATTTCATTTTTTTGTTGTTGACCTCCTGTTCTTAAAGGAAATGTCAGAATATAAATTCTGTGCTGACTCTTTAAAGGGAAAGGCATGCACACCTGTTCATACTTAGTTTTCACTTGCTCTTATACAGCATTCTTTTTTTTTTTTTCCTCTTGTCTGGAAAGAGACCCTTCTACTCTTTAATCAACTTAAAACATACGATTAGTCTCCAGTTTGAATGCTAAATTCACATGATCATGTATGGAAATGTTTTTATCTTACTTTTCTCAATAAAGGCTATTCTTTCCTTTCAAATGAACAGCAAAACTTTTATTTATGCCTAATTTTACTGCCCTATCTCTAGTCAGTACTTCTTAAATGAGGTAAGTAACTCTCATGCAAAATTTCCTACTTGGTTAGTTTAGTGTGGCAGAGCAGAAAATCAGGTGAAACCTAAAAATATTTCCAGGAATCAGAGCAAAGAGGGCAAGCCTTAGGGAGAATAGGTGAATGTTCAGGTTCCAGCGGGATAAGGAGATCCATAGGACAGCTGGGCTGATTGGTCCTGTTTAAGGAGATCAGACAGACCAGGCGGAGAGAGCCGAACCACCGGGTCTTGCAGGAGGCTCTGACCCCCTCGTGACTGTTTTCTGCCATTAGCTGCAATAACTGTCCCGCCCAGATCTGTGGGTACGTGTTTATCTATGATTGAAACTGTTGAACTTTGAAACTAAGTGTGATCACACTTCCTACTGAAGCCTAGCACAGGAGTTAGGTATGTGGGTGCTTTCATAAGCACCAAGTAAATTTTTTTATGACTATAGTTCAAGGACATTTTCCCTGATTTTTTGGCCAGTCTAAATATTGTAAGATAGAAAAAACTTCTATAGAATAAGTGTCTCTAAGCTAAGAAATGTGGATTTACAAATAAAAGTTGTGTATCCAGAAGACTGGCTGCTTTTCTGCCAGGATGTGTATGTGTGTGTGTGGAGGGCGGGGGCAGGGAATGGGTGGGGCTGCATCTCTGGGGACTGCTATGAGTACAAGGGTTGTAGACAATTATCCACAGCTGTGTTGTCCGAAGGAGAGACAAGATCCAAAGTTCATTTCAGGTTCACAAAGTGAACAGCCATTTCTGATGTGTGACTGACTATTCTTGTTTTTTGGTATTTTAATTACATTTAGCTATATTTCAAAGTAAAAACAAGTAACATATAAATGCAAGGCATATAGAAATATCTTTCCCGTATTTAAAATGATCTGAAACCAGAAGGAAAGACTCCAACTTATAACTTATATAAATTTTTTCAACATGAAATTTTCCTATTTATCTTCTCTATAATATATAGTGACTGGAAAAAAAAAAGATGTTTACTAGAAACCATATGTATACCAGGAACCATAGGTGTATAAAATATAGTTAGTGTACTAGAAATGAGTATTACACCTATGGGATGGTAAAAGGAAGCAATATAATCCTACCCAATGCGATTGTTTTAAATTTAACTTCATACTTGCCCCCAAGCACTCAATTCAGGGGACAATTTGAGGGTTTTAATAAAAATATCTAATATATTATTTTTAAAACTCATATCCAATTTCACTATAAATCAGAAATTCACAACTCAGCATAGACTTCAGCTTTCACAGAACAGAGATACAAAACAATTTAATAAATATACAGGAAATGAGTTTTTTACATCTTTTGATAATTTTGTCCAATGATGTCCAGGTATTTTTCACTATCAAATATCGTTTCTGCCTACACTTAAATACAGTGGTTTGGGGTTTAAACAAAGGAAGAAAAACAGGGGTCTCAGTGGAAAGTTTATAAGCTAATGAAAGCTTGAAATGATTTTAAATAAGAACAAAATATTCTCAGTCCAATGAATAGATCTCATTGCTCCAATTTTCACAATTAAAAAAAATCTCAGATAAAACCTACAATTCTGAGTTCTCGCTCATAAACTATTAAACACCTTGACACAATTTCACTGTCTTGAGTTACTCAGTTTTGTTAAGGTCCAAACAGAAACAAGCTGGTAAATCTATGAGGCTTTTATTTGTGTACTATCTTGTTTTTAAGGTAACACCACTGATTAACTCAGTACCATACTTTAAGACCGCAACTAGATTAGATTCAATTAGAAC